GTATCTAGGAGAAGGCCGTAGTGGGTCTGTTAGATACACCTATCGTGGATAAACAAGGCTCTGAGTGCGCTGTTTATTCACAACCCGTATAGATAACAACACGATCCGTCATCATTGGTGCTTTCATTGAGAGGTGCTGATCGTGTGTTTATCTATCCTATCTTTTTCTTTTTTTTCGGTTTTCCTTTTGCTGAGGGGGCCGAAATTTTTGTTCTTTTTTTCGAAATTTTCGAATTTTTCATTCTAACTTTTCAAATTTTTCGTGTCTTAAGAAAGAAAAGTGTCATCTTGTTAGTCCTTTGTTTGATTTTTGTTTCGGTTATTACCTTTTGTTTTGGGGCCGAATTTCTCTTTGTTTTATTTTTATTTTTGGTTCGATTTTTGGGGTTCGAATTTTTCGAATTTTTCCCTTTATTTTTCGAAAATTTGAGTCATAAAAAAAAAGAGAGAGTCATGATGTTACCATTAGATGATTGGGATCAAGAGGATCTCGAATACCTTGAAGGTTTGGAGAGGGAATTAACCCCTTGGGAGCAGGATTATTTGGAGGAGATGTACGAGCAAAATGAGGAGTATGAAAGACAACTCAAGATCAGGGAGGAAGGGCAACAAGTCGAGGTCAAGAAAGAGATCTTGTTCGTGGTTGAGGAGGGCCTTGGCAAGAAGACGTGCGTGGCGGACAAAGTGTTCGACATCAAGAGTGAGGGCTTGGTCGAAGGCGACGAGGAACCTACGTTCTCGTCCGAATTTCTAGGATACCTTGAAGAGGAGTCGTTCGTCGAAGTTAATGTCAAGGGTAAAGTCTTGGTCGAGGTAATCAAGGTTGAAGAGGAGATGTTGGGCGCGATCGAAGCAGGCCAAGATGACGAGACGCACGCACAGTACGGTGCGTATGAAGAGATGTTCGAAGTCGAGGTCTTGGTCGAGGACCGTGAGTGGTATGCACGTATGGTTGGTGAAGGAGTGCTCGATGTTTGGATGGTCGAGGATGAGTCCTTGAGGACAAGGACATTCT